CGAAACATGGTATGGTCGCGGACAGCTGAACTTCAACATGTGTTTCGTTGTTGCGAAAGAGTCTACCATTGACTGTATGTACGAACCTCTAGTCCAAAAGTTTGCGGAGTATCTTGTAGACTTGGAAATGGTTAGTAATGTATCAAGATGTTCACATCGAATTGTGGGAGATTTGTAAAATTTAGGAATGCGGTTTTCTTCACATTGTTGAAAAACGTGCGCAGCTTCCAGCAATCATGCGAAAAGTATTTACAGATCTGAACACCTGCGGTAAGAAATATCTGGACACTTGAATTAGCACTACTTTCCAGTGAAACCGCGTATGCTCAACTTTAACCATTGGTTGCGTTTATGTGTTTCTTTTCAAGTACCAATATCACACTCTCTATCTGTTTTTCATTGTATGAGCATTAATATTAAGGTGAATGTGTGTTACCAGTCACTGAGTTGACCACACTTTATCTCAAGCTTTGTCCTTCGTACAGAGGTGTGGAACCTCCTAAGGTTGGTTATGATTCTCATTAAACATCATACGTTTTCTTTTTCTGAGAGCAAGATTGATACCGCATTGGCCAAGCTGTTGCACTAGGCGCAAGTTCATGCTGCCAATCCCTATACCTGTTAGCATAGGTGTCTGAAACAAAATCCAACATTTTAGGTGAGCCTTTATATGGTGCCGATGTTCATAAGAGCTATACAGTTAACCCCAGCAATTATAGATAAAATGGATGTGCTTTCCCAGAAAGTGAGATATACAATAATTACATTTTATTCTCTGGACTAAAGTAAGCCTCTGGGTTTTACCAAATTCTGAGGGAATTAGGTTTTTTTCAGATCATACCGAAGATAGATGGAATAAGGTGCGTAAAGGAGATTGCCACTGAAGTTGAAATCGATCCAGATTTGGTGATGAGATGTGTTAGGTAATTCTTGAATTCTTGAACACAAAGTGCCAACTACTTCTTAAATTGAGTTTATTTGAGGAATCTGCATTTCTACGAGTGTGTTAGTTTGGTTCCCTTGTTTCTGTATTCGAACACATACGTTGCGACAGAAAAATTGCATGACTTTTACAACAATCACGTAGAACGTGAGGTTGGTTTAACGTTGTTTAGCATGGCGATGTTTTATAAGCGACTTCTGCACGCAGAACTCAAACACCCTTTCAGGAC